ATCGTGGATCACCACATCAAAAACCAATGATGTATTGTATGGTGACTAACATAACATAATAAAATTAAAAATAAATAAATAAATAAATAAATAAATAAAGGTGAGGGAAGAAGGAGCCAACAGAAGGCAGAATAAACCAGATACCACTTATTGAACAATTACTACATGTTAGATCCTTGATTTCATGACTGCTAAGCCCCCATCAATTCTGCAAGGTATTATCCCTCCAGATGAAGCAATAAAAACCAGGGTGTTTATAAGTATGTTGCACAGGCAGTAGTGGATTTTCACCAAGGTTTGTGTGACTCCAAAAAGTCATCTTTGAGTAACAGGCTACCTATCTAAGAATATCCAGGTACAGAGGCATTTAAATAAACTCACGTACAGCCCAAACCTGTATCCAAAATACAGACAATGCAGTTAGATGCCGGCCCGGGGCCCGACACACCCCCAGGCCCGACCACCAGCACGCTCTTCCAAAGCCAACGACAGAAGGACCAAAGCAAGCAACGGACCAGACGGCCTCATGTCACCACCCGCAGCCACCCCCACTACAAGAACTCCCTCTACGACACCCTGCAGGGTGGTTATCCGACTGTTCTCAAACCCTCTGGGGGATGGGCCGCCCACTGCTTCACAAATCAGGTGAGTTTATTTATGGGCAGCCTCATCTGTAGAAAGTTCTTCCTCAACTAGGAAGAGCTCTGCCACCCACTACCCCTCGTTCTACACAGGACCATCCACTCCCTCCTTAGATGTCTCCTGGAGTATGAGAACCACAGCTGAACACAACACTGCAAATGTGCTGTGACCAGTGTTTATCCACTCACTCCATGAGTATATAAGATGCACTCTCCGTGTGCTTTTCTAGGCACTGGTGATGCAACACTGAACGAGACTGGAAAGGTCTGTTTCCTCATCCTAGTGGTAAGAGTATGGAAGGGAATGGACATTTGCGGCGTCCAGGCTGCCCGGTCTGAACCCCCTTCAGGTGTCCAAGGAATCTGCCACAGGAGGTGTCTGGATGGGAAGCAGGGCCCATCTCCCCCTACATAAGCCACAGGCCGGACCCCTGCCCTCCTGCCCTTTGGCGGCCAGGGCACAGGGCAAGCCTGAACCGGGCTTGGCTAAGCAGATGCACAAGGAAGCAGCTAGCTCTGAAACTCTGACTCTGAAGCAACCAACACAAAGGAGCAGAAACAGTGGAGAATTTATCTTGCTGGGGGTGGCAACATCCAGTGCTGAGTGACAGCAGAAGCCATGGTGACTACCAACACATGGTGCCAATGCTGACCGCGGCATCCTCAGGAGACTCGCCCCACGGCCTGGTCTGTGCTGTGGCTGGGCCGCTCAGCCTTGGTTCACGCCTGTGTTCACACCTGGCCACCCGCCTGCTCTAACAGAGATGGAAGGCCTGTCTAGAGCCCCAGAAGCCAGGGTCCTCCAGGGCCCTAGACTGAGAATAAACAAGTTGGCCAGCCAAGCCTCCAGGATCTCTCCAATCGGGCAGACACCTGTCCCTCTTCACCAGAACGTTAGTCATTCCTAGAAACGACATTTGCCCAAGCTAAGCACATAAAGGCAAGGGACACAAACGCATTTGGCACCTGGCCTGAAGCTTCCGCACGGTCTCCTCATCTTGCCGGGCCTGTCTCTCATCCTCAAGGGCCTCCTGCAGTTTTAGGTACATGTCTTCCAGCTCCCGGACTCGCTGCAAATACTGCTCCAGTTCAGAGGACTTCTGGGCAACCTGTTCTTCCATCTGCTGTCTGATCTGATGGTGTAAAAGGGTCACGTTAAACTCCGGCTGACGTTCACCCTCAGGGAAAGTCTCCCACTGCTCCTCCATCCTGAACGATGACCGCAGCCCAGCAGGGTGGGCACGGCCCCATCCCGCGCTCCCAGAACTGAGGTTGGAGGAAGGAGAGCACCACACCCAGAGTCCACGGACACAGACTACAACCCTCATGCTGTATTCCTGCCCTGGGAGTGCTCCATCCCTTCCACTCCACACTTTAAGATTCAAGTAAAGAAAATACTGTTTCCCTGAATAATTTCTCTTTAAATTCCTTTCTATTATAAAGCCACAACCTCTTTACCCACAGTCTTCTCTAAAAGGAATGAACCTCTGTCCAGTCAGAACAGCCAGGGGGTTAAAACAAAGGGGAAAGGGATGACGGACCGGCAGCCAGCGACGACTCCTCTTACCTGGCTGCCTCCTCGCCCCTCTTCTCCCTTCCTGGGGCATATCCAGCCCTGGGGGGCCTCAAGCACCCAAGTTAGCACCCTAACAAGTATATGGGTTCTCCTTTCTGTATTAAACAGTTTTGAATCTCTGCCTTAAAAACTGAAAGACAAGGACATCTAAATGTAATAGCACACACATTAGCATATGTGTCTGCGGTTTACAAAATATTCTCACTGCTCACTTCATCCTCGTAAGAGTCATGAGAGATCACATGACAACGCCTCCAATGTAAAGAGAAAACTCATGCTCAAAAGCAGGACCAGAGAGGAAAGAACCCAGATCTCCTGGCTGTGAGTGCAGCGCTCCTTCCCCCCACATCTGCCTGCCTGTGTTCTTTTCTCTCCTAACATGAACTTGTCTGTTTTGACCCCAGCAACCAAAAGTTACTAAAAAATGTCACGAGCGTCTATTTAATAGGCACTGGGCTCAGTAGTCTGCCTCACATTACAACTCCACGTAAGACCTGTGTTCCAATGAACTAGCTAACCACCTACAGCAACCTGGCTCTTGGGGGTCTTGGGGGATGGGAACCTCTAAGATGAATTAGAGCTGCTAAGAGGAGCAGACCAGAATTCATATGTTCTCATGACTTCAGAACCTCCCACTTTGCTCATTACAGAAGAGAAATGTCATGGAACCCATGCTTACTTTTTCCATAGCTATTTATTTTCCAAGCCAGGACTCTTTGAGAAGGAAAAGGAGTGCTGTTAATAATTATAACAGGATGGCAAGGACTATCCCAGCAAACCAAGACATACAGTCACCCTAACCACAGTACTTATCACCCCATTCCATGAATTTCTATTCTGGGGTCCTAAAAGCAAGGTTTATGTCTTTTACCTTTATATCCTTGGCATAGTACCTCGCACAGAGAAGGTGCTCAATAAACCCATACTGAATGAAGAAACACAGAACTTCCCTGAGGCCACTGCAAGTCAGAAGCAGAGCCCAGCTGACAAGATGGCCTCACTCCAGCCTCCCAGGCCTTGGTCCCTTCCCCTTCAGCCAGACTGGCTCTGTGAGCGAATGCAGCAGCGTTCCCAGGTTCCCAGCTGTGCAGCACTCACAAGCTTCTCTCGCTCCAACTCTGTGCTGAACCTGGCCTGTAGTTCCACTTGAGTCTGAAGACGTTTCTTTTCTTCTTCTGCTGCGCGAGACGCTGCTTCTTCCAGTTTCTACCCAATCAAAACCCCACCCATAGAAAAGCAGTAAATATTAGAGTGGATATCATCTCACACATTATTCCTTAAAACTTTTACCAGAGATTGACTTATCAGAGGTGGCAATGAGGAACTCCATGGACCCATTCCCCCAGCAAAACACCCACAACTGGTGAAAATAATTTCCAAAAAACCCCCAAAACAACCATTTAAAGTCTCTGGAAATCATCCTAAGAGCATACAGCAAATGGAGAACATTTATCCAAGAAAAATCTACCCAATCTTCGTAAGAACAGTGAGTCTATGGCATCTGAGCCATAGTGTGCCCTCCTGCCCCCCGCCCCCCAATGTCAGTAAGAACAAAGTTCTACTCCTGGTAATGAAACCAAGAACACAGGGCTCCCTCTTTCCTCAGCTCATAGTCTAGCCACGGTACGCCCCCAGGAAGGACAGCCGCTAGCATTCTCATTCTTCCCAGCTCCTTGCTGCAGAAGCTCTATTCCAAGCAAGAGTGACTGAGGGGTCTGAGACTCTTTCCTCCACCCTGCACCCACTCAGAGTGGAAGTTCCGCCTCAGGGATGACAGGCTGCGATTAGTAGACACGATCACCCTTGCCCCCATTACCTGTACAGCAGAGGTTCCACACCAGGAGAGGCAAGACCGTAAGACCAGAGGCTACCACCTCCACCTCGTGATAGGCCCACAGAGCAGGAGCATCCCACCAAGGGAAGTAGACCACTTGTTTCTGCCACCAGCTCCAGAGCCCTGGCACAGAGGTTTGCCCAGGCAGACAGGCAAGATCTGAAGTTCTCCCCAAAAGAAATGATGTCATTTAAAACACAGGGTGAGGAAGTTCAAACTTAACGATGCTCTTGAAAACAATGGAGATTTTAAGGAATTAAGAAGCAGCTCATTGCTCCATGAGACCAACAAACTAAACCACAGACCAGCTAGAAATTTGACAGAGAGAAACACAGACAGCAAAGCCCTCATGTACTAGGAACAAGTCTCAAAGACTACATGTGGGCTTGAATTTAAATAATATCAGACTGAGGAGCAATTTAGGCCCCATGCCATTGTTGAAAACCATAGAGCTCTAACAGCTGGGTAGGATACCAACAGAAGTAGACAGCTTAACAGAGAGATCAGAAACAGAGACACACAAAGAGAATCCTGCTAACATCATGGTCACCCCAGGGTACTGTGTGCATGTCCAAGGCTGTGCCTCTGAAGAAGACAGTCAGAGCTTTACAGTGTGAAGAAAACAGACTTCACTGAAATAGCCCAGCCAAGTCACTGAACAAATGAACAAGCAAACAACAACAAGCCCTCAGGGGAGGGAAGAAATCCATATCCAGAGTTACTACAATATATTGTCTAAAATGTCCAGTTTTCCAAATGGAAAGATATTTCATGCTCATGGGTTGGAAGAACAAATATTGTTAAAATGTCCATACCACCCAAAGCAATCTACAGATTTAATGTAATCTCTATCAAAATATCAACAGCATTTTTCACAGAACTAGAACAAATAATCCTAACATTTGTATGGAACCACAAAAGACCCCAAATAGCCAAAGCAATTTTGAAAAGGAAGAACAAAACTGGAGGTATTACAATTCCAGATTTCAAGATATACCATACAAAGCTGTAGTAATCAAATCAGTATGGTACTGGCACAAAAACAGACACATAGATCAATGGAACAGAATAGAAAACCCAGAAATAAACACAAACTCACAATTATATGGTCAAGTAGTCTACGACAAAGGAGGCAGGAATATGTAATGGGAAAAAGAGAATCTCTTCAACAAATGGTGTTGGGAAAACTGGACAGCTACATGCAAAAGAATGAAACTAGACCACTTTCTTACACCATACACAAAAATAAATTCAAAATGGATGAAAGACCTAAATGTGAGACCCGAAACCATAAAAATCCTAGAAGAGAGCACAGATAGTAATTTCTCTGACATCGGCTGTAGCAGCATTTTTCTAGATATGTCTCCTGAGGCAAGGAAGACAAAAGCAAAAATAAACTATTGGACTACATCAAAATAAAAAGCTTCTGCACAGCAAAGGAAACAATCCACAAAACTAAAAGGCAGACTACTGAATGGGATAAAATATTTGCATATGATAAATCTGATAAGGGGTTAGTATCTAAAATATATAAAGAACTGATACAACTCAACACTAAAAAAAATAATAATCAATTAAAAAATGGGCAGAAGGGGATGCCTGGGTGGCTCAGTCGGTTAAGTGTCCGACTCAATCTCAGCTTGATCTCAGAATTTCAGAGAGAAAGGAATAGAAAAAGTGTTTAAAGAAATAATGGCCGAAAACTTTCCCAATCTGATGGAATACATTAATCTATACATCCAAGAATTCAACAAACTCTAGGATAGACACAAAGAGATACACACCCACACATCATAATAAAACTGTAGAAAGACAAAGACAAAACGAAAATCCTGAAAGCAACAGAAGAAAAATGATTGATCACACACAAGGAAACACCAGTAAGACTGACAGCTGAGTTCTCGACAGAAACATGACTAGTTCTGGGCAAAGTATTGAAAATAGAAGGGAAGTGTGACACTTCCAGCTGGAATACTTAATTGCCAAATCACTGAACACTTAGTCCTCTGGTACAGTGAATAGCAAGATTTGAAATAGCAGCTGTTGCATCAGCCTGGATTTCATAATTACAGGTGTATATACTCTGCTCCAGCAATCCCACTTCTGAGAATTAATTCTATAGCTAAATTAGAATGTGTATAAAATGACACAGGTCCAAAATAGTTCCCTGCAGTATTGCCTATTTAATCAAAAGATTTAAAACAAACCAAATGTTCATCAAGAGGGGACTGGCATTGTTTCTTTTTCTTTTTTTTTTTTAAGATTTTTATTTATTTATTTATTTATTTATTTATTTATTTGAGAGAGAGAGAGAGAGAGAGCCAGCCA